GGCTAGGATGTCCATCAGACTTGGGGATATCAGGAGGTATGTGGCTGGGTGGCTAGGATGTCCATCAGACTTGGGGATATCAGGAGGTATGTGGCTGGGGGGCTAGGATGTCCATCAGACTTGGGGATATCAGGAGGTATGGGGCTGGGTTGGGATGGGTCTGAGTTAAAACATTGTTTAGGGGGGATTTAGGCTTATAGAGGAGAGAGTCATTCATAAAGGATTTCTATCAGGCTGGGAGATATAAGAAGGTATGGGTCTGATATGATACAGGAATGTTGGCTTAAAAAGAGTAACAACATTGTTTAGGGTCTTTTTAGGCTGATAGGGGAGAGAATAATTCACAAAGTCAGGCAGGGAGTTATTACAAGTGTGTGATTGCAATGCTCAGAACTAGCTATAGCAACAGAAGCAATTGCTACTCAAAATTGTGAAACTGGAGCAAAATGCTACCATCTTTAAATCTGGTAGAAAAACTTTACTGTCTACAAATGGCAAAAGTGTTCTGGGATTCTGGTGATCTTAATGTGTTGTACAGATGCACTAGGTCTATATTGTCATATTCTCCTATATATTTCCAGGGGTGTAGGTATGGCTGTACAAATGCCAGGAAGAGCACTGAAGAAGGATTGTGCACAGCTATTGGAAAACATGAAGGTATGGAAATTAGGCCAATGTTTTACTTTTTTAATCACTATATATTCTATGAGAATTCAGCATTTAAATAGTTAACATATTATATTAAACCAGTTGCTCAGTTGTTACAGTGGCATGACTTGCAAATTACAAGTTCATACATATGGTGGAAAAGGGATAATATGGCTTGGTAATTAAAGAAAATTTAAAATGTATTATGTTTACGAGAATGTTAAAACTTCTTGTCCTAGTCAAACTACAGGTAATTGCAATACGTTTTTCAAAGCAGCATTTTTGTGATATATAAAAAATGTCGATTTTCATTTTTGTTCATTTTTATTATTTTGTTTATTAATATATTTATATACAATTGTCATTATAGCAATGGTCTGAGGCTGCTATGTTGTATGAGAAGGGTGGTTATTATGACAAGGCTGCCGCTGTCTACATCAGGTCCAAAAACTGGTAAGATGCTTATTATTATCATAATACCTAGAATTATTATCACGAAAAAGAAAGTAAATACTTTATGAAGTATGACTAACCATGTTGTTGTTCTCTTTCTTCTTCTTCTTCAATTTTTTTATTATCATTATTCCTAATAAATCCTAATAATAACTTATTGTCAGTGTTAACTAGCAGGTTATATCGGACATGTGATGAGGTAAAGGGAAGCATGTGATTCATGTCAGTTTATAATTACTGTTGTAAATATATTTTCTTAATTCTTTTCTCTTTTACATATTATACTTAATGGTTGCAAATTGAATAAACTAGTATCTAACACTGATATAGGAAAGTAACTGTGTTATACTTAATGGTCTGAAGTACAGTAAACTGATATCTAAGACTGGCTGCTATATGTGTATAACTGTGTTCTCCTCAGGGCCAAGGTTGGTGAGCTGCTCCCCCAGGTCACCTCCCCTAAGATCCATGCCCAGTATGCCAAGGCCAAGGAGGCAGACGGCCGCTACAAGGAGGCAGCACAGGCGTATGAGAATGCCAAGGACTGGGACAGTGTCATCAGGTAGATAACAAACTAAATTATTACTGTTACACGTGCTTGATGATACTCTGGATTGAATAACTTCAAGGATATCAAGGTTAAGATATAAAGGATGTGCAGCCTAGAACTGTTTCAGTCAAGTTTACAACTCAAGTGATAATGAATTATTGATTGCGGATGTGTATATAGGATGTTATCCCAGAACTGGCTCTATCGACTTTACTTGTTCAACTAAAAATTAATTATCTGTCTTATTGGTGTAGTCCCTTAGAATGCTCCGTGACTGAACAGGTCCCATAATATCAGGTGTGAATTGCAATGTCCATGACACTTGTTCCAGGATAAGAGGTTTTAGTATTAAACACCTTAACCCTGAGTAATAAAAACTAAGGTGTACTCCACTGTTCTGAAGCAATTGTTTTGTAATTATCACCTGAGTTGTTAGTGTGAGATAACCTGAGATACACACTACTTGTACTCTTTGTCATCTTACAACATTACAATAAAGACCAGTTATTGATTAATATATTACACATCAAGTTGAAAGCAATACATGGGTTGTCTTATATTTTCTCTGCCAGTTTTCAGTGTTTATTGCTACCATGCTACCTGTTAATATCAGTCCTTAGTGTCAACTTTTGTCCCCACACCAAATGCAAGTCAAGTTAAAGCTGAGAAGAAAAATGTGTAACTATTTTGTATAAGAATTTGTCCAGCTAGTGGACCTTATTTCTTCTTAGAATTTTACACTCAAAGGACCTGCGGGCTAAGAAATATTTTGACACAGACTGTAATAATAGAGATATGTAATTCTACTCTGTGTGATGTTATTATTTTTAGGATCAACTTGGATCACCTCCAGAATCCAGAAGATGCAGTGAGGATAGTGAGGGAAACACAGTCAGTGGAGGGAGCCAAGATGGTGGCTAAGTAAGTCATTAGGTACCACTAGCTACAGCATCCTAACAACCCAAATATGTTTGCTTTTGAAATAGAGGACTTTTACCTTTCATAATCATAGTTGATTATTAGAAATATCTTATTTCATTAGTATAATTTTTACATGGAAGTTCAAATTATAACACTTGTGTATTACGCAGCTGGTTCTTGTTCTATCCAGGTTTTTCTTGAAGCTGAATGATTATGCGTCTGCCATCCAGTTCCTAGTGATGTCCAAGTGCAATGATGAGGCCTTCCAGCTGGCACAGCAACATGATCAGATGGAAGTTTATGCAGAGATTATAGGTATTAAAGGTTTCTTTTTCTGTTGGGTGATATTTACACCTTAAAACAGATGTGGTGAAATGGAAGAGTAAGGATGCAATTGCTGGTTGTAGGTGTACTTAGTTTAAGGTAGCTTAAGTTTATGAATTATTTCATATTCCATTTATTTATTTATTTTTGAACGGGTTGTTTAAGTAAAAAATGTTTAAAAAATGAACAGAAGGTTTAAGAAACCTAAATATGTAATAATAATAATAATAATAATAATTTATTTTTCCATGGCGCATTCCATTAAAAATCTCAATGCGCCTTACAACATTCACTTAAAAGAGCTAAATAACACAATACTAATATAAGAACACATTACAATTTTAAAGGACTAAGAACTAATTTAAAGAACCAATTATTCATATTCTAAAATGATAAGAACCTAAAGTGACAACATTTAAAATTAATCATAAAATTACAGTACACCTTATTAAAAACTAAAATTAACTATATGATAGCTACTGATAGGCTATTCTAAAAATATGAGTTTTCAAAAGCTTTTTAAAAGTATCTATGTCACCTGCTGCTCGTATTTCAGAGGGTAAAGTGTTCCAAACTTTGGGTGCATATATCATAAATGCCCTTTCACCGTAAAATTTATGTGAAAAAGTAATTTAGAATATGTATATTCCAGGCTCTGATGCCACTGCGGAGGATTACCAGAGCATTGCCCTGTACTTTGAAAATGAAAAGAACCACTTCCTGGCTGGGAAATTTTTCTTCTTGTGTGCCCAGTATGGAAGGGTAAGAATTTGGTAGACACTGTTCCTGCTCAAATACATGCTTGCTTTTTGTCTCTCACACACATGCACGCACACACGCACGCACTTAGGTCATAAATACACACAACTCTTAAGTAGAAAGGAAAGATTACTTTTAAGTAGGTCAAAAAAAAATGGGATTAAATTTCTTAGTTTTTTAACGCAATGCATGTACATAGTTGTTCTGCAGGACACCACTTAAGTGTAATAATAATGTTTATAAATGATTTCCTTATCATCTTTGTCTTCTAGGCTCTCAAACATTTCCTGCGCTGTTCTAACAGTGATGATAGTAAGGCAATAGGGATGGCCATAGAGACAGTGGGGCAGGCCAATGATGATGCTCTCACCCATCAGCTGTTTGATTATCTACTGGGAGAAACAGATGGTGTGCCCAAGGTAAATGACTGTCTATCTAGATTGGTTTTTTCACTAAATGTCCTTAATGTTCCTGGGTGTTTCTTCAAAATTACTACATAAAAGCAACTTAAAGGTGAGGCAGACTTTCATAGACTGTCTTACAATTCATATTACATTACTTTAAACTAAGATATAATGTTTTTTGACATGATTTCACTGTCTTCTTATGATAATTATGATATTTTGCAAGACACGATTTCTTTTCTGAAGAAGTCTAACAGCATGATTGAAAACATTATTTCAACACAGAGAGTATTTAATATTATTAATATCAATGCCAGTTATATCTCATGCATTCCTATTTGTCCCATTCCAGGCCAGCAAGTACCTGTTCCGCCTGTATATGGCACTGAAACAGTTCAGGGAGGCTGCCAGAACAGCCATTATCATAGCCAGGGAGGAGCAGAATGCTGGTAAGAACCCATGCATGCATCAGCTGTCAGTGGCATTACAAATATGGTTCATTGTACTTTCCTGTTTCTAATTCTATTTCCTTTTTTTTCCTGGCCAGTCACACCCTAGCATTTGGTTATTTAGGTCACTTTCTAATCTCAAGAGATATGACTTTGACTGAATCACATTTTCACATTGCCTGCAGATATGAGCTTAATAAGCAGAAAGAGATGTTGTCAAGTGGTGTCATTATATAGTACTGGGAATGGCAAAGCTGTAACAGCACTACATTTTGCCCGTTTTCTTTAACTGAACTGTGTTATTTATTTATTATTATTTTTATTTATTTATTTATTTATTTATTGTCAGGAAATTACCGAGATGCCCATGATGTTCTGTTCAGCATGTACCAGGAACTGAAGCAGCAGAAAATCAAGATCCCATCAGAGATGGCTCATAACTTAATGATTCTTCACAGCTATATACTGGCAAAGGTAAGAACTTGACCTCAACATACCTGAATGAACAGTGACAGGGCACTTGGTTTACACTGGATAGGTTTCCTGGGCAGTAAATTATCTCCATTTAATTTTTGCTCTAATAATGTATTTGCTGAAATTATTTATACTTGCTGAAATTATTTATATTTTATTTTGAATAATTAATAAACAGAAGCATAATATATCAGCTCTGGGAAGCTTGTTAACATATTGAAGACTGAATTGATTGAAATTATGAACGTTATGAAAAATATTATTGCAGAGTTAGATATAGGTGTGAACGTGTTGCCACTTGACCAGCCTAGAATGATGTCTGTAGAGTTTGTGTGGTCATGTAATGAGTGATTCCTGTGTCATCTTAGGCTACACTTTATATAATATATAATGTATACATGTCTTAACTAAGGGACCTTTTATTAAACATGTTACTGTGTCTGCCCTCAGGTTCATGTTAAGAGAGGGGACCATCTCAAAGGGGCCAGGATGTTGATACGTGTGGCCAATAACATCAGCAAATTTCCCTCTCGTAAGTAGTAGTCTTGACTTTAATATTAATTATGGCCGATTTCAGTTGACAGTATTTCTTCAGTTAATTGGAGTAATTGAAATGAATTAGTTTGTGGCAAAATTTGACCTTGAATGCATCTTTAAATTGCTTAAAAATTTGACTGATGACAACTTGGGGTTTCTTATTCCCATTTAAAAGTAGCAGTTTGGTTTAAGTAATAACATATATTTTTAGATAAAAGTCATTTAATAATTGTTAATATTGGTTAAGATTGTATCATTGACCAGTGTAGAATTCAAAGATATGAATATCTGAAAGTTCAAGTTCTCAGTTGTAAATGAATTGAGTTCTGTATTTTCAGATATTGTCCAGATTCTCACGTCCACTGTGATAGAGTGCCACAAGGCAGGACTGAAGAATTCCTGCTTCAGCTATGCAGCCATGCTGATGAGACCAGAGTACAGAAACCAGATAGATGTGAAATACAAGAAGAAAATAGAACAGATAGTGAGGTAAGTGGTGCACAAGATTCAAGAGATAGTGTTTTGAGGAGTTGAGTGGAAAACAGGAAACGGGAAGTCAAAATTGATGTCTTAGAAAGTGTGAAAAACAGAAAGTGAAAATTGATGTCTCAGAGTGTGAAAAACAGGAAACAGGAAGTCAAAATTGATGTCTCTGAAAGTGTGAATTTCTCTCCGTCCTAATGCAGGTGGTATCATTTTGTGGATTTGAGTTAAAATAAACACTGAGCAGGATGTTTTGTCAAATGCAAGAAGATAAATATCTTATATACAATATCAGAGGTTCAAAGCATGAAAAAAGTACATGCATTCAAAGATACATATAACTTTTTTATTAATCTTATAATAAATATATTTCCTTGAGTGATCTCAAATGTTTATTTATTTATTTATTTATTTATTTATTTATTTATTTATTCAACCCTGTCAGATGACCGGACTGTTTCACTTGGGATTAAAAAAAAAAATTAAGCACCTTGCTGCACCCTGTATAATTTAGGAAGGGTTTTGTGAAACCATCATCTTATGGCATGTAAGCTGCTTTGTTATGATATATAATATCCCAAATTTGTGTTTTATAGAGGCAGCTAAATGAAGCTGATCACATTATGTTTTCCAGAAAACCTGATAAAACAGAAGAAGACGAGCCCACGACCCCCTGTCCCCAGTGTGGGTATGCCCAGGCAGAGACAGAGCTGGTCTGCCCCAACTGCAAGAATAACATTCCATACTGTATCATTACTGTGAGTTCACTTACCTTTTCATTCAGTCAGTCAGTTTTTTTTTTTTTTAACTTGATAGAACCTACCTTCAAAATCATCTGATAAAGTGGAAAAACTCTTGGCAAAGCAACAATAGTTGGTACGGTTCTACATCTAGATGATAATACATTAAAGTTGTACATTCAAAACTAAATGGCCTAATTATCGTGAATATTTGCAGGGACGCCACATGACGAAGGACAATGTGACAGCATGCCCCAGGTGTGATTTCCCTGCTCTCAAGGATGAGTTTCTTAGGTATGTTCACTGTCTGTCTAAGTGTCTGCCTTTCCTTTTGTTTGTGCACCTTCTGGCATGTTGCCTACAATTCAGTGGTTATATGCCCTGTTAGCCAGAATCGGGTTGAAGAAGACTTTATATTAAACTGGTTGTTTTAATATTATCATGAGATTTTCTCTATTTGTCTTCAGAAAAAGTTAATTCATATTGCTGAAGGTGCAACATCAGCGCTTTTTGGGTGAAAGAATTTGTCGATCTCCCAAATCATTTCCATACAGATAAGTGTATCTTAACCCCCCACATGTTCATTTTAGTGTACTGGAGACAGAAGAGAACTGCCCCATGTGTTCAGAGATGGTGAAGAGTGAGGAACTGAAAGATGTCATGGACCTGAACAAATACATGAATCCTGACGAGGGAGAGGACTGATGGCGCCAAAAGAGCACTTCTTTTTGAACACAATATCAGAGATTTGAAAAAAAAGGTTGCAAAGTCATGAGACAAAAGGAGTGGATCATAGATTATGGTAGAAGAGAGGATACCATATGTCTCTTCTCTCCTATTAAAATTTTTTTTACATAACCCTGTTTTGCATCAGGTATTATTGTATTTAGAAGGCTAGGTGTTGAAAGCTTTTTAGCAGGTGACCAGCGGGTGAAAAGCTTTATATGATATCATAAAGTTGTGAATTTTGCTGTGAGGAGGATATTCTGAGAAACGAGCTACATGTTTTTTTTTATTTGCAAAGATGTTCGATGCATTATCAAATAAAGAAATCCGTCCATTTCAATTAATACTAATGTTGTTTTTAATTTGAAACTATGTACATTATATGTATTGGAAGTCTCTAGTTGGATATTTTTTGTGAGTGTTAAGACGTGATTGTGCACCATCTTTACTGTAAAAAGACCGAGAGTTATGGCAGAAGCATGTGTGGTGATTGTTGAAAGCTTTCTGCTTTGATATAGCCTCTTCATCTGACCAAGGCAAAGATCTATTTCACCAGACGTAAAGGTGAACGACCGTCTACCCGTAATCCGCAATCAGTAGGCAAAGGAGAAATATGTGGTAATGAAACCTGTGTGGTGCGATAAAACTAATGAACTACGTGTATATACACTAATTAAACCAACGTGGAATTATCACGAACATCTTACCACAGGAATCGAATGTCTCTAGAAACAACCTACTTGTCCACAAGTAAAAGAACTGAAAGATTGAAACGAGCATGCTAAAATTCAGACATATCATTTTTCCTGTATAAGTTGTTTTTATGGATTGCACTTTGTTCATATCTGTGTGTACAGGATGTAAAATAAAGATTTTTTATATCAAATTCCATTGGTTTATCTTGCTTGTGACAAAGATTTCTTTTATTTGTTTATTCTGCTGTATGTTAAAAATGCTGTATGTACACGGTATTAAATAGCAATCAGAAAACGGTAGCTCTGGCGGGGTGGGGCTCATTTTGTTGGGAGACTTTCGGAAAACTTTCATTCTTACTAATTACGTGTAGGTGTTAAGATTATGATAAAACTATTTAATTGTACGCGGTGAAAATATAAATCTTTACCTTTTTCTAGCCGTGAGCATTCTTTAATGTTGCCGTGTTGTACAACAGCAACTGAATAAGATCAACAGACCATTCCTTTTGTAAAGTAATGAATTTCTCCATTTGAAATCAGAAGCATGTTATATTGGACTTTTTCGGTTTTCTTTTTGGAAATCACATCCTCGTTCATCAAGTTAATCGCGACATATTTGATAAACACTTCTCGGGATTCCGTGTCTTGATTGAAAGGATAAAGTGCGTGATTCAGCGGTCCTGTGTGATTGTACCTTACACTGGTATGAGATGGCTGCTGGTGCGTCACTGACGGATTGGATTCATCATAGTGTTTTTAAGTTGATGGCTTACACTTTCATTAATTGCAAGCGATAAGTGAAGTAGAATCAAATAAGTAAAAACTTATCGAGCTATTGAGTGAAAGTTCAATTTCCTGATGAGTCAACAAGTGAAGAAATGGGAGGAAGTAGGGAAAGAAATGAAAAATATCAAAGTCGCATGTAGTTTTATTTGATTGGTTAATTTCACAATCAATTTGCAATTTCTACCACGTTTTTTCTTCTACCAAGTTATGGATACCATCCAAATTTAATGTGATGCAAAATATTTTAGGTTTTTAACTGAAAACAAAATTCTTAGAAATATAGAATGGTGGAATCACAAATCAGACTGGAAAATTCTGGAAATCACTCAAAAGGCAGTGTAACGAAAACGAACAAATGCGTGATTGGTACGGAGATAAGAGAATGTAAGGACTGTTGGGTTTTGTACTAAAACTAAGTCGGCAAATAAACGCTTGAACGCTTCAACTCGTCGTTGTCGTCCCTGTAATAATCACACCTGTCTATCAGTAAGCCTGTTACGTAATCCAAGAGGGATTATTTGCAGCGATCCCTCACACCACGATAATATATCGTATATATTCCCATGCTCACACTTATCATAGTGTCCTTTGGGGATGTGAAAAGTGGATTTTTATTATACAATTGACACAATCTTATCCACCAACGCAATATGCAGAAGTTGCCTGCGGCTAACCGGTCACCAAACTCTGCATGTTTAATGGGCATGTCGTTGACACTTTCGATACACGTTCCTTAATTCTAACGGTCAACTTTATGATACTTGTTTGTTCAAATTTCAAAGAACTGTTTCCAAACGCGTTTTCTGATAAATTTCCCCGAAGCTTACATTTATAAAATCTTGCACTTGTCTCTATGCATGATCTCAGCATTTGGTGGTCTTGTTTTACCACGACTGAGGTTTACAGAAGGTCTGGGAAACGCGGCAAATGAAAGTGGCATTTGTTAATATATACCACAGACAAAACAATTTCCAAAAATCCATGGAACAAGTTCTTAAGCTGTTTGAAAATGATCAATAAATCATTATACCTTTCTGGCAGTTACAGATTTAATTTCAAAATGTCGACTATTCTCAGATGACATATTCGTACCAGGCCCAGGTGAAGTTTAAGATAAGCAGCTTACATGCGATAGCCCGGTCAGTGAACTCAGCCTCGAGAGATTAGCCGCATGTGTTACTGTCAAATAATGCCGTCGTGCTAATTAAGAATTTCTACGTGTACGGTTGTCCTCAATCAATGAGCTTTGGATATTCTTGTTGATTCTTTTCCGATGGCCACAGTGAAACGTTAAGTTTATTTTGATTTTTTAGTCCAGTGGTTATGAACATCTTCCTCATATTGTTTTTTTTAAAATAGAAATATGCATTATTTATGCGCTAGATTTGTTCCCCTGGACCTACATTATACTGATTTTTTATTTTAAAAATATATAATGTCTTAACGGCTCGATTATCAAAGCGTTTATATTACACTGTACATGTAGCTTAAAAGCAAAGCATTGCAAACTTCATGCCAATGCCACAGATTAAGACCTATTGCATGTTAACCTCTCTTTGAAAGGCGTCCTTTCTGCATTTCATAGTACTGTTTGAGAGTGAAAAACAAGAATACTTTACGTGCCGACAACTTGCCGATCATTGATCATTCATTCATTCTGCAACCAAAGCAATGCTTGTGCCTCCTTTCTACGAGCACAGCGAATCCAGCTACATGGTGGCACAAAGGATGCAGGAAAGACACCGTCCAGTGTGAAGGGGGTTTTAGAGACAATATCGTGGAGCACCTAGATTTCACCTAGAAAAAAGAATCTCGAAATGATTTGTTTTTGCTATCAATCCCATGTAAAACTAAAAAATGTGGTACAAGGCGACGTCCAAAGGAACTTTATACTAGTTTTTCTCAATCCAACAAAAGCTTGGTTCTATAAGAGTTTCCCTAAATAAGAGGAAAATATTTCAGTGAATATGTCTCTTATTAATCATAATCCATGACAACTTTTATTTTGGCACCAGTGAAACTAAAATCAACATTTATCCATATATGCAGGACTTAAAACATTTTCTCCACAATTATGATTTGAGAATTTTGTCACAATACAATAGCTTCAAACTTTCGTTTTTACGAAAACAAATAAAACTGTCTTGAATCAGGTAAATGACAAACGCATCGAACGCATATTTTTGTCAACAGCCATTAATTTTATTCACAGTGTTATAGCCCAAGTTAACAACTTGTATTTATCTTACATTTAATTCCAATGAAAGTATTTGTACATAACAACAGCACATTCATACTGTTTTATATAGAAAAAATGACATATATTAACACTCTTCTTTACCTTTAATTTGAGAGTTTTTAACTTGTCGAATGCAATTATGACAAAGAGCATGCAGTGCAAAACCTTAGGTCCGTGAAATAAGAGTTATATGACAACACCAACCCTAAACTTGCTTTGTATCAACAATAATTTTACACCGATGCTTTAAAAACACAATGGCCAATCGTACTTCCAACTGAAATATCAAATATAATTGTCCTCTATCTTGTTTTCAGGCGGTCGGATCTTTTTCCTTATTGACGTCATCCAGTCACAAAATCTCTTTCGTACCACATCAGTTCGCAGTGTATAGATGAAGGGGTTGGCAAAACTATTAATGATAACGAACGAAGCAGTGACCTGCGCCATACCGTAAGCGTGAACGGAATGCTGAACCAATACAAATACTCTGTTCATTATGATTGTTGGTAAAACAGTAAGAACATACACGGCGATAACTATAAGACTCGTGACAATAACATGTTGGTCTTTTTGAACCAATTTAATATAATGCTGATCGGTTCCATTTTTGATTTCGAACACATCTGAGTATTCGCATGCCAAAGTCTCTGCAAAATGTCTACTTCTGCCTTCACGCGTGGCATCAAACGTGGAACCATTAAACTGAGATTCTTCCAATCTGGTATTGGATATAGTACTTACTATATGGCCCGTGGCATAAGGTTTTATTGCTTGACGTTGATGTAAAATTTTCTTAAACGCAGATATATAACTGACGAGCATCACCGTGCCACAAATGATAGCCAAAGGAATCAGAGCAGAAACGGTAACTTCACCTCTTCCTTCACTATGACATTCCACCTGAAAAGGGTACTCCTTTTTCCTCAGTATGTCAACCATTGACAAGCAAAATCCGATCATCCAAGGCAGGACTATGCCTGCTTTCATCAATGCCTTGCTGACGTCGTGCGTTGGGTGACGAATTTTATACGAACGTAGAACGCTGATGGTTGCCAGAATGGTCATGTTAATGGCAGGTCCGAAGATGATCCCGCGGGCAATGGTGCATTTAGATGGGAAGTGCTCTCCCCACGACCACACCGAAAAGATCGTGAATGGCGCCACCGTGATGCAGATAAGTAGATCAACGATCGCCAGATTGATGTGGAAGGAATTGTCCCAGGTCCGCAGGATGGGGGTGGAGATAGTTATGATGATCACACTGGCGTTTCCAAAGGTACCCAGTACGATGGCAATCGTCGAAAGCACCGTGACCGTGATTCTGGCCCATTTCGTATAGTTATAAACTTCAAAATCATCACAAAGATCCGTCATGTTGCCTGCAAATATGGAACAATTTGCGCCAGTGTGCAGGGACATTGCTGTATGCAATGTCGTGACTTAGTTCTTCGGCTGACGCTTGTGAAATGTGATTGTCAATCAAAACCTCAGAAAATACGTTGGTTGTGTGGACGTCACTGCCGGCAGGTTCTCATGCCAATAACCAATGTAATCTCACACCTTTGCCATCTGCATGTGACGCAGCGGTTTCTTTGTTCATTTTTACCTGTTGCACAGCTAAGCAGGTCTTTATATCGTAGATTTAACCGAAGGCCATTTCCACCGCAGGCTCTTTATATTAGGATCGAACCTTAAGCTTGTAAGCCGACGTGGCGACAAAACAAAATATACGTGCATATCTATCGAGTACAGTTATATACACTGCATTGGGCAAAATGATGAATATAGTAAGGTCACGCACCTTTCTGTTCGGTCATTTATGTAACATATAAAATGAAGAAATTCAAAACTTTACGATTTAAGCGATTTTCTTAGAAATTAAAAAAAATCGATGGTTATGGAGCCTATTGCCAATGTGCACACGTAGACATGTATTCATTATCTTTGTGAATGGTAGAACAGTATAGTGCTTGCTGCAGCTTAAAAAAGAAAGATCATTAACAAATCTATAGCCTCACTTGAGCCTTGACTCAAAATCTTAGTGATCATTTACGCCTTTCTCAAATTGTTGAAAGTCCAACAAATAATTTCCTGCTGTTGTGCTACTTATTTGAAACCTTGCGGAGACTGTTCAGCAATCCCATGCCTTCAACTTTTGGTAAGAGCTTTCATTTCAAAGATAAAAGCTGCAGCAGGTAAAGAATATAAAAAGAAAGCTTAGTTTTACATTTTAGCAAATAATAGTCCTACCCGCAAGAGAAAGGGTCCCCGACAGTCCTAGCTGTTTCAACGCTTCACTAAGTTGTTGCACTCCTGCAGCACGGCACTTCATAACAGCTACTGTGTTTTTAAAATCAAGGTAATGTTCAATTTTAAAACAATTCGACCGTTAAAGGGTTCCGACGCAGGTGATTGATAAAGAGAAAAGAGGAAAAGGAAAATAAAAAGTAAAAGGACAGAACACCTTGCTTCAGAAACAAGCATCTCTGTAAGTAAGTACAGATATGATGCGCTCGTGCTTAGCTCGTGCATAGATATTTGATGTGTGGCAGAAAGCAAAAGAAACTAAAGAAACCCGAACTGCTTTTTCAGATTGTGACAGCGTTTAACATTATCTGGTTGCTTCTCTGACAAAAGCATAATTAAGCCGGGAATTGTTGATCGCAATTTAAGCACAAATGTAAGGATATACCATAGAAAAAATTGTAAGAATTACAGAAATATTAGTGGAGCAATACAGCACTTCATTTGATGTGTGAGAATTACATGTACAAAATATAAGTAAAGCTGTATGCTGCCAACATACGTATGGTTGGTTCTATGAAGTTCTTCCTAAATGAAAGGCAAGAATTGGTCTCGTATTAGTCAGAACCCATGTCAACCTTTATTTGGCTACCAGTCGATTCTTATATACATTTATACTACCCTTGCAAGAAAGTGTCACCCCTAACGCAATGCGTAAAATAATACAGAAAATCATGTCATGGACAACTATTATTAATTCAACTTCTAAAGGGATTTATTTCACAAAATATTACTGATTGTACAACCAATGAATAAACTATAACAATAGTAAAAACAAAACCACATTTTGATATTTTGTACAGTATATTTGAGGACGCACCAATCGTGTCTGTGCGTGGAGTTAGGTATTTCTGTAATGTTTGCGCAGTGATGCCGTTCCACATACGGTGCAAAGATAGTATGCGATCAATTTTGTTTGCAGAGTTATCCCTCAGTTATTGATTTCCGAGGTTATCCTTCACATTTTTACAGCGATTCTCATCTAGGGATTGGCATGGCCGTTGGAGGGGGGGGGGGTTCTGGATCTGGTCCGCATATTACCAGCCTACTGTTGCGTTGGCTGTACGTGGAGTAGCATTATCATGCTGAAACATAAATGGACGATTATGGTCTCCAAAGATATTTTCGACAGAATTCCTTAAGTTCCCTTACCAGTACTTGGATGCAATGGTCTATGCTAAGGTTCCCGTTGACCACCGCCAACATAGCAACAAAATATTGAAAGCCACATATTGATTTTATTTTTTAAAAAATATGTCAAGACGGGTTTCTCTAGTATTTATCCATAGCCACACAATGATTTAAGAATTGCATTGACAGAAGCTGTGGTAAAAGATGAAGAACCTGGGCCATACATTGAATTGTATACAATTCCGGCAAAATTTAAGTACATATACTAGTGACAACATGATATGCCGCCTACAAGAGTGGCTGGGCTCAGATACAATTAGCTCTTGTATGTCGCATGCAGTGCGATATCATATCATATTTATACAAGTAGAGGCGCTCAACCAGCGTAGATCTCCGCCAATGTGCCCGGAAATACTCTCGAGAAAAATATTACGATAGGGAAAAAAACTACAACTATGTTTAGGGCCTATTATTATTATTATTATTATTATTATTATTATTGCAATTAAATTTTCCATACAATTTTGCGAATGATCCAATAATAATTTCACTTTCCGTAGCCAGGACGCAGAACGCGTTCGCGTGTGATGCAAGAGGTCACGCCACAGCATGCAATAACGTGTTTTTTCCTTGCTCCATTGGCCCTGTGACCAGTCCTGAAGATTTCATCAAAATTTGTCCATAACTTTCTGCATATAGCATAACAATAACTGACTGACAAACTAACAAATGGAACAAGAAACGAAAGCTCCTTGCAAAGGTAATAAAGAAGCCAAAGTCTAGTCAAGAATCGGCAAAATGGTCGACAGAGTGGACCATTTTGCCGATTATTTTCTCCTAGTTGTCTCCTCTGGTATTATGTCACGTTGACCTGAGCCGAGGCACGTTGATGCAAATACAGTGTGAAAGCCGCAGATGGTGGAAATTTGTTTGTCTTCACTATCTGTGCATCTCCTCTCCTTTAAAATTGGCTTAACTGACGTAATGTGACGTAGACAGACCAGCAGCACGCTCACACTTGCTCATAGTGCACGAGGACGGTGCTTCAAATCAAGGTCAAGGTCGAATGCATGTATCTGACACCAAGAACTGTTCATATGCGCAAAAACCTTATAATCATTTTGTTAAGCAAAATCTAATGTGAAAAATGTGATTAGGGATAAAGTTTAAAGTCTCCAGGGTGTATATCCGATCGTTGCAAAGTCATTAATTTTTTTAGCAAATTAAAGATTTTTTATATTTATCTATTTTATTTTGTTTAAAATATTTATCTGATTGTCTACCCGTGTGTGTAATTGTGTGTGTGTGTGTGTGTGTGTGTGTGTGTGTGTGTTTGCGTGTGTGTGTGTGTTTAAAATGAAACAAGGTGGACATGTTAATAGAGTTTACAAAATCCATCTTGTTAAACTAAAAAAAATCAATTTCCGGTAATATTTCATGGACCTTGTGCAATCGAATTCGTGTTTTCTTTGTGTGGGACTTTGAGCATGTGTGTTACTGAAATAAGACAACCGGACTAAGAAGATTAGTCTCTATCATGTACCGCATCCAACACCGTTTAGACTAATTTGCTTTTAAACTACCTGCAGAAACAAGGCATTATTCGTCAGCGTACCCAAGCACAAGACGAGAATGTTGTTCGATTGGCCTTAGGATGACACAGCGTGCGTGCACGCGCACTTCATCTTAAGCCTGGGTCACACTGCGCTTGCAACCTTTTGGCAACCTCAGTCGCAAAGAGGTTGCCATAGGTTTTAAAGTGGTCGCATAAGGTTGCTAACAGGTCGCCTGCGATCGTTGACACATGAAGGCCATTTTTTGTGCACCGACAACCAGTGCGACTAAAGATGAAAATTATCGGTTTCCTAAAGGTTGCCTATCGGTCTCTTCTTGGTTGTCGGTAGGTTGCTATAACCAGTAGCATACCATTTGCAACTGCACGGTCGATTGACCGTATTTAGTCGACTGGTCGCTTACAAGTTTTTTACCAGTCGCAAGTAGTCGGCAGCAGGTCGCTAGAAGGTTGCAGTTGTAACTGCATGGTCGATTGACGGTCTTTAGTATCTTGGTCGCTAACAGGTTTTTTACCGATCACAGGCGTTCGAAGATATGTTGCAGGAAGGTTGCAAGCGACTGCAATAAAATAGGCGTAGGATGGTGGTCTATTTGGGCAAAGACTTTTTCATAATTTGTTATGTAAGCCTTCTAAATATCAAGGTCGTAAATTATAATATTTTAGAAAAAGAAAACATAAATTGCATTTGTTGGCAATATTTTATACCAATTGCCAAGGCTTTCATATACCAGGCATTTCACACTTACGAAACCAAAAAAAAAAAATGTGATGATAAAAGCAATGTAAGATTTTTTGACGCTACGTTTATTTATTTTATCATTTTGCGAAAATCATAGGTAAAATGCCGAAAACCTCAATTATATATCGCTGTATGTTATTTAAAATTTGCAAAGCCATATTATCAGAGTAAACAATGAAACAAATACACGAATGCAGAGAAAACGGAAAATAAAAGCAATTTAATCAGCAAGGTATAGCTGCTATTTAATATCATAATGTCAACAATCAAAATTATCCACAAATAATTGAACAAATCGTAAAGTGTGTCCAATAGACTTAAATAAAAATAGTTTCAACACAAACAATTTAACATCTTCCCAGTGCTTGGTATCCTCACTGCAAGGATGAGAGTGTAAAAAGTACACGATGCGCATGACTTAGTCACGATTTAGTTACGTTGTATTGTAAGTGGCAAACGCCTAGGGTTAAAAAGACAAAGGGAAAACCACACTTTCGGTTGCAAAGCGGTTGCAAAGCAGTCGGCGACCTGATAGCAAGCGGCTGGATACCACAAGTAGGTTTTTCGGTCGCCAGGAGGTTATCGGTGCTGCACCGAGGTTTTTTGTTCAGTGATACCGTAACTGCACAGGCCTTGCGACCTCAAAGAGACCAAGTATTTGAACAAGAATATATTAAAGAGTATTATGAAATTAACAAGGATTAAAATGTATGCAAGTTTATGTTTTTATTGCAGCACTGGTTTCGTTAGGTGAGGGTGTAGTCTTTTCAAAAGTTCACAAAACATTGTTGGTTCTATTTTTAGGAAGGAAATGAAAACTTCCTGATTTTCAAGTCGAAGTTCTTTCATCAAATGTTTATAATCGCCTTACAAGGGGCGTCTTGCAATCCACGGGTTCACCCAGTATTTTCGAGGTTTTTTACTCGTTTTACTTCTTAGGTAAACAAAGTCAATGATTATAGCAGTCCCGTCTTTTTGAAAAGGAGTCGTTTTACTAGAAAATTTTTGTCTTTTGAGAGGGGAATTTATGGGAAAGCAGCTACTGTCACAAGTTGGCAACATATATATCCTGTGCGACTTTGCTGCTACCAGTTGACAAGCGATTGCTACAGTCCTGCAACCGGTTTTCGGTCACCAAGTGGTTGCAGACAGGTTGTGTATCGCTCGGCAAAGAGTGTGCGCCTGGTAACCTATAACTTGAAGATGGTCTATAAGAGGTTGCAGATACCATACTGCAACCTTGTTGCAACCGGTTTGCGACTGCTTGCCGATCAAAATTGGCCACAGCTTCTTAATTAGCTTGCAAAGTGATCGCAAGCGACCGCCAGATTTTGTGGTTGCAAAAAGGTTGCAAAAAGGTCGCAAGCGCAGTGTGACCCGGCCTTTAGTTAACTGAGTGTGATAACGCTTTCAGTTACAACGGTGTTTGACGCGGTCGTGTAGATCTTCATGTACTCATATAAATATGACTAGACACCAGACAAGAGATCATAAGCTGAAGATGCAGGGATATCTGTTTCTGTGTCTCCTCCTGGTGGGCGTGCAGACTTTGCATGCACAGAGCTGTAAGTTTACTAAACACTTAGACGAGTCAGGACATTAACGTTTTTGATAAATGAAACTTTTGCATAGTTTCCAGTTGAGAATGATTATTCATCTGCAAATCTGAAATAAAAAAAGAGAACGAAATGATTAAGTTTCAAGACACTCCTTCAATATTTAGACTAAGTTCTTCATTACAGCGTGGCAATGCAGTTTCGAGAGTAACTTATGTTCATTTACCAGTGAAGGGTATGGCTGGACAAGACTTACTGGAGCCACTGGCAGCAGTGGCACGGGACCCAGCGGAGCCTACGATGGTAAGTGCATTCGCATGAGTTCATTGTAATTGTAGATATTACATATATCGTCATAAAAGTAACCAGATATGTTCATCTTTATCCTTTGTTAGCAAATATGTTCCCTAAAATATAAAAAATTTGACACAAAATCAAATCTGAGAGATATATAGTATTTTATCCTTTTTCCATTTTGGAAAGCCACAAATGTGTAGTCTTTTTGTATGGTATACGGTACGGTATATGTAGAGTTGACCAAAGCATATAATCAGGGGGATTCATGTTGTCGAGGAGGGGAAAGGGGCAAACTTGTTTGTCCTGTACCGACACCCTTTAAATGTTTCAACAACATTGTAATATAACTATTAGACAAAAAAATGCATGATGGCATAATACTAGATTAATTAATATAAGGCGGTATAATGTTCATATCTCATATAATCAGTAATAATCGAAGGTGTATTCAAAAAAGGAAAAAATGGAGACTCTAAAAACTCAAGACTGCAGAAAATCCAAAATTGGAATACCCACCAAAATAATGTTTATTTACTTATCCAGGCAGGTATTATATGTATACTGAGACGTCCAGTCCCCGTCGGACCGGGGATCGATTTAAGCTGGTCAGTAAACAGTTTGTTAAAACTGGAATGTGCCCGACCAAATTGACCTTCTACTACAACATGTACGGCAGAACCATGGGTACCTTTAATGTTTACGCCAGGGACGTGGCTACCAATAAAAACACTCTGCTCTTCACTCGGTCAGGAAACTTGGGAAGTGTGTGGCTCTTGGCACAGGTGGACCTACCTAAAGAGCTGAGCAAATTTAAGGTACCGATATCAATTCATACTTGGTGTAATCATTCAAATTCGAGATTAACAGATAAAGGATTCTTTTCTTCAAATTCATGGTATGTTTTCGATGTTTATTCATTTTTGAAATAATTACCGCATTATCTGGTTAGGTGTCAACTTACAACCGCGTTGCCAAAATAAAAGGCTTTCAAAAGTTAAAAAATAAAAATAAACGCTTGGAATTGGACATGAGTCACCCTTTTTGGCTTTTATTATTATTATTATTATTATTATTATTATTATTATTATTATTATACGCTAAAAGTTATTTGAATTGGTAGGCTACTATTCATTGTTCAAATCAGGATAGTAGTGCAGTTACGGTTTAATTTTCAGCAATGTATTCCATCTGTCGCTTCAGAACATGTGAAGCCAATGGAAATGAAAGAACTATTGCAATATTTTAGATCGTCTTTGAAGGCATCCGTGGGTCTGATTACTATAGTGATCTCGCTGTAGACAAGATTTCCTTGAGAGGCCTGGGCGATTGTGTCGGTACGTATATTGCTGTTCATCGGTATCATTCCATTATCAGACAAATTATCGCGTATGCCTTGAAGTTTCGGACTAAGCAATAAAGCAGACCCCCCGTAAGGATGACCATTTACTGCTGACTGAGATGTATCTGGGGACAAAGCACATACATTTTGTTGAAAACAAGGTAATTTCAGACTGTACACCAGATGTCACTCCCAGAACAGACTTCCGCTTAAGTTTAGTGCAATGAATTTTGTTGAATATTATGACACCCAGCTTCGGAAAATGCAATCACTCCTTTGTCTCCTAGATAGCTGTCAATCATGCGAATTCAACAAAGTTTGTGAAGAATTTTATGAGATATTTTCCCACTACCAACCAGACAAACCCTGATAAAAACAAACAAAAAACTCGTTAGTAAGGTGGAGGTAAAGAAGCAAGGTATCACAAAAGGTACAGTTTTGCCACAATTTCATTTTTTCCCTTTTATTTCAGAATTTTGTAGCGAACCCCCTGCGGGCACAGACCAGGTCACCATGGTGTACAACAAGGTACCCTTTGACAGCAACGTCACCTACACGTGCCCAGAGGGTCTGTACATGAATAACGGGACCAGAAACGTGACATACAGGTGTGATGAAAACGGCACCTGGCCCATCACTGAGACGCCAAGGTGCCAAGGTAAGGAAGGAAGGAAGGACAGTATTCAAATACAGATTGTGCACCGAGGGTTTCCTTTCTACAAACGCACCATTCTCATAGTTTCATTGTGGTCGTACATTGGTATACGACAGTTTTTCAATAATTCAGCTTTGATTCAGGATGCATGTGATATTCATGGGCGTAACTAGGCATACGCACGGATGCACTGTGCGTACAATTTTTTGGCCAACCATGATATTATTTTATATAAATTTAGTGTTCACGGAATATAAAAGAAAATCCTCTGCTTATTAAAGTCACCTGTATGTACAAATCCTCTGTATCAATTGTATACCCCCCCCCCCCCCGTAACCTTAACAAGTCCTATCTTAATCGTCCATCTAACTGACACTTCCTTTACCTCTTCCTTTATCTCAGGTAAAAATCTGCCTGAGTGTTATTTTCAAAGAGCAGCTCCCGCAACCCTGGGGGCACTAGATAAAATCTGGACACCAGGTTTAAGAAGGAGCTAGAGAAACAAAAAAAAAAAAAATTCCTGCAAAGCTTCAAAGAATTTTGACACGGACTTGACCCAGCTTACCCCTCCAAACTAACAGGGTGACATGGGCAATTTTTACAAACAAATAATTTAACTAAGATGTATCAGAGCTCTGTCGTGTCGTACAATTGGTTGTTTTTTGGGAGCCATGCATCCACATGTAAGGTGAATGAAACCGTATGTTAGTTTAACTCGGAGGTGGATCCAGGATTATTTGAAGGGGGTTCCACATATGCGAAGCTAGCCTCCTTTTAAATAAATAAACCGTTCTGGGTAATAAGAATATTGAAACTTTTTTAATTGCGAGAATATTTCTGACTAAATGATGATTTTATTATTAATGAAAATTAAGCTGCGATGTGTGGTACATATGCTGTAATTACGCTGTCCTTCATCTCTTGCGTTAGTCTACATTTTGCTGGGAATTTTAAAAATCTGTGCGTACAATTTTTAAAGGTCTGGTTACGCCCCTGATATTTATCTTGGCATTGAATTTATCATATGGCTAAAATGAATCAGTTCCATTTGTGATCCTTACTATTTATACTGTTCACACTTTCATTACAGGATCCACTTACTATGCAACTACAAAAAATAATGACAACAAGCGAAAGAAAAAATTAACCGCTTTCAAAATATCACTTTTATTGCAGCTGACTGCCCAAGTTACCGTCTGTTAAACAGCACCAGTGGCGTCATCTACAGTCCAAATTACCCTGAAAACTATCCTGTCAGCCAGAATTGTCGGTGGTCAATCCTTGTCCCAACTGGACGGTCGGTCAGGATATCATTTCCCGTGCTTCAAACCGAGTACGACTATGACGTGCTGGAA